GGCAAACAGCTCGAGACAGTAGACTGTGGGCACAGGCCCAGAAGACTGCTGCACCAGTTTAGACCAAATATAATGGTATGTTTTCAGATGCGAGCACTGGTTTATTTTTTTTAAAATATCTCATGGTCTATGAAGTGTGTGATTAACAATACTCTAACTAGTTACATGAGAGCAGTTTTATTTTCACATGTTAGTAACACAGCACATTTGTTCTATACATTAACTTGTTATTCTTTAGCTTTCAGGACTTGTTTCAGTGTTCCAGTGTACAGTTGAATAGTCATAACAACAACAACAATTTTACTTCTACTACTAATAACACTAAATAATTAAACACTCCTCCATTTAAAGCAAAGAAAAAAGTTCAAGATACAGTTAAGGAAGAATAATTTTTACAAATTAACTTTTCCTTAATGAGCAATGAGACCAATGTAAAGTAAAAACTTAGAGTATGATAATGAAAATAGCTCCATATTAAAACAGTTGTGAGGTTGGAATATAGGTCCATGGGGACTTCCAATATTTGTGACCGATCACAAATTAGAATGGAGCTATTCTGGTTTTTTCCTTTTTTGTGCAGGTGTCACAGAGATTTGATCAAAATGTGACTATTTATAGCATGAACACAACACAGACCCAGGTTAGTTTTAATTTATTTTTTTCTCTAAATCCACTTTTTAATATAGCATTTAGTTATATTCTGTGATTTAGTTTAGTTTATCTAGTGTATTGTCAAAAAGTAAATGCATAGACTGTTGTTGGTTCTCCACATTAAGTTTGAATGTGCATGCATGAAAAAATTCCACCCTCATTTTCCAGACTGCAATCTGTATTCTGTGCCACTAGCCATCCTATTATCACATGCTTTTTGATATCTGAATAAGAAGTGTGCCAGACATCAACTCTGATTTAGTTCATAATGGCACGTTGCCAGCACACAGCACAGACTGAGTCAAGCCAACAAGTCTGCACTATAACGACACCCTGTATGCAGCACAGCTCACTCCCAGTCCAATCACACTATGAAAATCTCTTTGTTTCAGTAGTTAAAATGTAGCTCAGCAAAAAAAGAATATGACCAAATATCTAAATATCTCAAGCTAAAAAGAAAATTCATGTAAATGACACACTGACAAATTAAAGCAGCTCAGTGTAGCGGTACAATGTAGTGGAGAGTGCAGTGCAATAACGTGGCTTGAAGGTAATGCATGTTAACAGCTGAGATTCAAATAAAATGTTAACATGAGAGGACAGAGAATGCTCTGCCAGACAGATGTGTGGCATTGTAAAGAGGCACTTCATGAAATATGAAAGATTTCTTCAATATGCCCCCATGCTGAAAAAGTCTCTTAGAAAAAGTGCACCACTGCCTGTCAGGTAAGTAGTGTGGAGGGTCATCGAAATAATCTATGTTCAGGGACCTTCTACACCACCACTTGGTTAGAAGAACACACAGTACAGTAGACCCTACAATAATACATAGAGAGAAAAACCCAACAATCATATGAGCCCCTATGAGCAAGCACTTTGGCGACAGTGGGAAGGAAAAACTCCCTTTTAACAGGAAGAAACCTCCAGCAGAACCAGGCTCAGGCA